CGAGAAACCTAATTGATGCAGGTTGACTCTAATGAGAATAGCAGGTTACATGTGTACTGAGGGAACAACACGTAATAACAAGTTGATATACTCCAGAAATTTAGACTGGCTCCACTAAAGCAGAAATCTGAATGAAACTCACTCAGAACTTTACGTAACTTCAACTACTGCTGAAATACACTTTTTAGAGTGTACCTTATAATATATACATCTGGAGTAAGTCAAATTTTATTTATAGCACATCTGTTAAGACGATGACCACACAAAGTGATCATCAACGAAACAAAACTAAAGAAAAGAGCCTTTAGAGTCCACAGAGCTCCAGACTCTCAGGACCACTGTAGCAAAAACTCAGCGTCCTTTAGTTTACAGCCTCATATGATGATCATATGACCTCAGGAACCTGCTGGGGACGTATGGTAATCATATAATCATGAGGTGGTGCTGCTCCATAAAGAGCTCTAAAAGTCAGAACCACAATCTTGAAAAAGACTCTGAATTCAAAGGGAAATAAAGCAGCTTTAAGCACTTCAAATAAATTCAGTTTAGTTTTATTTATATGGCGCCAAATCCCAACAGCAGCAAGGCCCTTCATGTTGTAAGGTAGACACTCACGATGTGTTCATACACCATTAGATATTATCCACAGCGTGTCTTTGTCCTGTCTCCTCCCCTCACCCCAACCGGTCGTGTCAGAGGGCGGCAAATGTGGGAAGGTAAACCTGGTACCTGTCCAGGGGGTACAGTGCTCTGTGGTAGATGGGATGGGCTCCAACCGCTCCACGACCTGAAGTGGAAAAAGAATGGATGGACTAAGATTCTTCATCAGCAGGCTGTGGCCTCTGCTCGGGCTGGGACCATGTCTAAGGCCATGAGCTTAAAGCATAAAGCTTTTATTCTACTCCCCACCGCCTGCATCTGGGCCCAGCCTCCACAGCAATGGCATTTCTGGAGTCCTGAAGGTTCCAGTGCTGTACATAGAAAGGTGCTGCTGTTCTTCCAGATGTGACCCACACTGGTGACTTGCTGCTTCCTGGCAGTTAATTAGTCTGAAGCAAAGCATGCTGGGACTGGATCT